ATGATGGATCTGAGGCCGGGGCGAGGTGTGTGGAGGAGGTGGTGATCACGGAGGTGATCGACTTGACGGAACCCACCGAAGAGGAGGAAGATGGCGACAAGACTGTTGTGGAGTTGCCAAAAGCAGCGAAAGTATCTGTCGAGGAGGTGCCCGCGGAATCACCAACCGAGAACCACCACCCAACGCCTGACCCGAACCCGGACGTCACCGAGGTCGATGCGTCCCCCCTCCCACAACCCCCTTCCCCTCCTCCCATCAGCTCAACCAGCCCCGCTCAGTTCAAGCCTAACACCGCCTCCTTCTCCCACCTCCACTCCCAACTCCTCTCCTCAGAAAAAGAAGCCGCCGCCCTCCGCGCCCGCCGCACCGCCGAGCGCCTCCAGCAGTCCCTCCTCAACGAGAAGCCCGCCACCAACGCGATCATCTCGGTCCACCTCGCCAGTCACCAGACTCTCAAGTCCCCCAACTTCCCCGCCCAGCTCCGGACCCCGAGTCCGGGTAGCGAAAAGCCCGACAACAGAAGACGGCTGAGCCAGACGAGGTCGACTGCTGATCTCCTGACTTTCAAGCTCCCCGAGCCGGCAACCACCGGGAGTGGAAATGTGGTGGGACAGAGCGCCATGGCTAGTGTTGCCACGGCGGTCGGGAGCGAGATTCAGAGGTCGACGAGCCCGAATAATAGCTTGCAACTGTCGAGGGGGAGGAGGGAGAGGAGTCGGAATCGGGAGAGGGGGTATTTCCAGGTTAAGAAGGAGGGTGTTGTTGTATAAAAGGGGATTATGAGGTGATAAGTGGCAAGTGGAGAGGTGGTTCAGGGGTAAAAGGGGGCTGGGGTCGGTGTTGGGGTTGTGATTTTTGTGATGTGGCATTTACGGACAGCGAGCGAGCGTGTGTTTTCATCCCTCCTTTTGTCATTTCCTTTGTATAAGCAGCATCACATGGCATATCCCATCTCACATGACAGCATCAAACGACTTCATGACACATGAGATGTCAATATTCCACAGGTACCGGACAGGAGTATATAGATCAAAACTTTATCAGCGTGCATCGAGTTCAACGCTAATATTGCTTGGTATACCTTTGTAAAATGCCAACAGGATATCTCTGCTAAAATTCCAGTCCCTTCAAAAACCCCCCCCAAAAAAAACCACAAACATTGCTTCCATGAACGCCATGCACCCTTCCTCCCACCCATATTGTAGATAGATGCTCCCCAACTTTCCAACCAGCCTATTCCTATCCCTCACATCAACCCGCTCAACACCACCTTCCCCACATTCGCAACCTCACTCTTCACCCCGGCTCTCGTCCCCTCCTCAAACTCCCTCACAACCCCCTGAACCAACAACTTCCTCACCTTCCCATCCGCCTTGCTAAACAACTCGGCCACGCTCCCCCCACAATGATTCGGACTCGGCAGCAGCCCCAGCAATCTCGTGTACGTATCAATCAAGACATCACACAAAGTGGCAAACGTCTCGAAAAAGTCCGGGTCAAACGGCAGACTTGGCGTGAGCAGGTGGGTGTACTCCTCCCCGGGAAGTAAATCAATCTCGGACCCCGCAAAGTTCATAATCGACGCTGGATGCGTGACGTTGACCGTTCCTGATCCTACACCCGGGTAAGTGGTGGAGGTGTTGGTGATTGATGGTGTGAGCGCCAGACTCTCCAGCTGAGCGAGTTGCTGCTCTCCGAGGGAGGACTCCCCTGCTGTGCCGGCCAGCGATGCCGTCGCCGCCGCTGCCGCCGCCGTGGTCGCGCTGGAGGATCGTCTTGTCTTGGCAGGGCCGGCAGCGCGGCGGAACATCTGTGGTATTCTCGCTCGTGACAACGAAGAGGACGAAGCGCCTGATTCGGAGTGGAGTTGCTGAAACGAGTCGAATTCTGTGAGGAGGGTGTTGAAGGATTTGAGGAATTCAACAGCGTTGCTGCTGTTGAGGTCTATCACTGCTGGTAGGGAGATTCCAAGCAGCAGGTAGTTTGTGGCTCGGCGGGCGAGTTTGCGTGGATCGAAATAAGGCATGCGTTGGAGGTCGGGTTTGTCAAAGAGGAGGGTGTTGAACCAGTAGATGCGGCCTTCGTGGCTGGAAAACAAACGGGACAAGTGTCAGTGATGTGGTTTGGAGATGGCAGATAGTGGAGCGGGGGCTTACGCCTTGCGCAGATAGTCCAACGTCGATATCCTCTTATTCGCCGTCTCTTGAATATGCTGGTGCACCACGCTCAGCTCGCTCGGTTGGCCACTGCTGCTTCCGCCCTGGAGAACAGGAGGGGGAGCCAGCTGGCCGTTCGCGGGTGTCGTGCGACTGAGCATCTTGGAGAAACCCTCAGGGGTCGAGGTGGGGGATGACAGCACGGCGTCGGTCTCTCTCGACAACTTGTTCACGGCCTGGGCGAGGGCGTAGTTGGGGAGCGGAGGCACGGGATTGTCGGTGTCGGGGAAGAGCTGGATGGCCGGAGGTCTTGCGGCGCCATTGGCCGACGACGACGAGTTTGCGCGGCGCTTCGGGGAGCTGGACGAGGCAAAGGAGAAGGAGGGCTTGCGACCAAATGAGGGCCTGCGATCGCGGCTCTTGTGGAGAACGTTGTGTTGCCGGGCTGGACTAGCCCCTGTGTCACCGGCGGCGTCGACGCCCGAGCTGGTGGGACGGGAGAGCGACCTGATGGATTTTCCCGGAGATTTCCTGGTGGTGGGAGACAGCGACGAGGGGTCGTCGTGCGAGTGCGAGTGCGAGTGCGAATTGGAGTTGGAGTTGGAGTTGGAGTTGGACGAGTGATGACCGCCGCCAAACAGGGACGCGAAAAAGGGCGCGGCCGTCTGCGTCGGTGTGGCTCCCGAGCGCTGCATGTCTCACAGTCTCACTGCTTCCTCTTTCCTGGGATGTGTGCGAAAATGACCTCTTTGGGCAAGGCACAAGGGCAACAACGCGCCGCCATTTGCTGGGGATACCTTAGCGCCCTGGATCCGGCAGGAGCTGTTGGATGCTTTAGCAGTCCCCTATGTTCCGCTGACAGGGTTCGTAGGCGTTGTGTGACAGGGGTTGGATATCAAGATATGGTGATGTCCATGGTGTTGACGATACACAGAGACAAAAGAAAAGAGACGAAGAAGGGACAGCCGTGCTTCTTAAACCATTACCAAAGCTCTCTCCATCGTAGCAAAAAAAGCACATGGCCGGGAGAGTAAGGCGGCCGCATGTGTCCAGGGGGTTCCCCATGCCGTCTGATGCAGGTGACGACGAACGGGCACCCGCCTGAACACCATCTCGACCGTCGTCTGTCAAATCCAGAACCGCGAACTCGCCGCCGCCAGGGCATTGACGTTGAATCGTCGCAGCACATCAGCCGCTAGCTCAAGCGGCCGCGTCTTTTCCCTGGGTTGAGGGCAGTTGAAAATCCGGGGAACCAGTTGGGGTTGTCCAGCGGTCGACCCTTCTGAAACATGGATGGTGATGCAAGGTTGGTCCATGTCCAGGATTCCCGACTCTTCCCATACCTTATAGATATCTCTGTTGCCTCCTGTTTCCCGTCCTCCCGTGATCGAAGATGGGACTCGGAGAGGCCAACCTGATCTGAGATGAGCGCGGGCAGTTTGAGTCCCTGCATTAGATCGCTGCACCGAAGGTGGGGGAGGGGCCAGCCGAGGAGGAGGGGTGGAGGGGCAGACACTCAATGCCCAAATTGGCTTCCTGGGCAATTAAACACATCTTTAGGGTCTGATTGCCAATGTTGTGCTTTTCATTCCACAACATCTTCTCTTGTTAGTTACAGTTGAATTTTTGGGTTCCATTGTAGCTGCTATTTGACTCCGTCGGTTATATTTTTGAAGTCACAAGCACCACTCCTGGCCACCACCCAGCAACGCAAACACTCCCCAACAACATACTCCTTTTGTGTCACCAGCCATGAGCGCCACCGATCCCGTCAACCCCCCTGGTGAGCCAGCCCCTGAGCTCCTCGAGGGCCGTCTCTGGGTAGATGGCTGTTTTGATTTCTTCCACCACGGTCAGTCTCCCCCACACCCATACCATCCTCTACCGTTCACCTCTGATGATGCAATAATAGGCCACGCAGGCGCCGTAGTCCAGGCCCGCCAACTCGGCGACGAGCTCTACGTCGGCGTCCACTCGGACGAGGCCATCCTCGAAAACAAGGGCCCCACCGTCATGAACCTCAAGGAGCGCCTCATGGCCACCGACGCCTGCCGCTGGGTCACCAAGTCCATCCCCTACGCTCCCTACGTCACCCAGCTGGACTGGATCACCCACTACGGCTGCAAGTACGTTGTCCACGGCGACGACATCACCTCTGACGGCAGCGGTGAGGACTGCTACCGCTTTGTCAAGGCGGCCGATCGGTTCAAGGTTGTGAAGCGGACGCCGAGTATCTCCACTACCGATTTGGTTGGGAGGATGCTGCTTTGCACGAGGGGGCATTTCATCAAGTCGCTGCAAAAGACGCTCGAGGGTGAGGAGGGTCCGGGAACAGCGGAGGAGAGGAAGAAGGAAGGCGAGGCGATGAAGGAGAGGATTAGGCTGTATGCTGCGGATGAGACGGCCAAGCAGCCCGGTGTGGAGGTTTGGTTCTGGTCAGGGGAGAATGGGTTCGACAAGTTGTTTGGGGGTATCGGGCCAAAGATTGGCCAACGGGTCGTGTACGTCGATGGTGGTTTCGACCTCTTCTCCAGCGGCCACATCGAGTTCCTCAAGATGGTGGTTGAAGCTGAGGAGGAGCTCGCCAGAGGGGACGGTTGGTACTCGGAGCAGAACGTCAACGAGCGCAAGGGCAAGGGAGAGGACTACGGCCCGGTGTTTGTGGCGGCTGGCGTCCACGACGACGATGTCATCAACAAGTGGAAGGGCGTTAACTACCCCATCATGAACATTTACGAGCGCGGCCTCTGCGTTCTGCAATGCAGGGTAACATCTCATCATCTCATTCCTCCTCCAGATCGACTGACTGACATGATCATCTAGTACGTCAATGCCGTCATCTTCGGCGCCCCCTTCGAGCCTACCAAGGAGTACTTGGCCAAGTTCCCATGGAGCACCCCCGATGCCGTTTACCACGGCCCAACATCATTTATGCCATCCACAAAGGATGTGTACGCGGCTCCCAAGGAGATGGGCATCTACAGAGAGATTGGCCACCACGAATTCGAGGAAGTCAACGCCGGTACCATTGTCCAAAGAATCATGAAGAGCAGAGACCTCTACGAAGCTCGTCAAAGGGCCAAGGGCATGAAGGCCGACATCGAGGCCGCTCATAAGGAGAGAGAGCTTCTCGAAGAGGAACAGCGCAAGAAGGAGGAAAAGCTTCAGAAGTGATGTGGTTCTTGCTTTCCTGAGACTTCAACCGTACATGGGAATTGGAAACGACAGCATTGGGAAAACTGGCGACGGCGAGACTTCAACAGGCCTCACAATGCTCGTACACACAAGGCATAGACACTGCATATTTAGAGCACAGCGCACTTCTATCTAATAATATCAAGAACAAATAGAACAAAATCTTTGACAGTCAGTCAGATACCATAACGCATTTTAAGTCATCAACGGGACCTTTTGGCACCTCAGAGCTTGACTTTTAGTGGTTCTCATCATGTAGACTGCAAAGCCCCCAGACCTCAAAAGCCCCCAGATGCCAGCAACCAAGCAGACCAACCAACAGGGAACGAAAAAAAAGGTGACCTCCAGTGAAGCCCAGAGTGTTCGGCTCGTCCATGCTGGCTAGCCTTCAAGGTCGACAGAGGCAAAACGTAACCAAGGTTTGTGTTGAAGCACCCCCTCGCACCGAGAATAAGCCCCGTCGAGTAACTCCATCCCCTCTTTCGAGAGAGATGGGCAATCGCATATCTGTGGTATCGTGACGAAAATTCTCCAGCCGCGCCATGACGTTCCCAGCCACGACGTCTGCCACCACGGCAGCCCCACCATCGACCCGATCCACCAACCTCAGAGGAACCAAGACGAGCCCATCCCGAACAGCACAGAGCGCGGACTCATATCTTCGTCCATGTGGTCTCCAGCCTCGCAAAACAGACAAGTAACCCAGCTCATGGGGAAAAGCGAAATCAAAGTCGACTTGGGTGTGATGAGGCCGGGCAATGAAAACAGAAAAAAAGACAAGGAACAAGGCGGGCAAAAAATAGAGATCAGCCGCTGTGCTTCTGTGGCGGCGCGTTTCCGCAACACCGATCGTGACAAGTCACGCTCGGCAATGTCCGGGGACTTTCTCCCAAAGCTGTGTGGTGATTGTGAAAGAGATGCCCCGAAGGGAAATCTTTCCGTTTGTGAGCTTCGAATAGCGATTTGTCGGGCGAGAGGGTGCTTGCGAAAGGAGGAAAGCGAAAAAGAGTGGGAATGGTGGAATTTTTTTTTAAAGTAGATAACTTTTTAGTGGGGCTTCGTGCTCTCAGTGGGGTGTGTGTGTTGTGGCTGGGCATGTGGGATTCGAGCTACAAAGAGCAAGTGAATCTGGTGGTGGCCCAAGCTCTTTCGTGAGGCTGGTGCAAGTGAACGCATTCGGGTACTTGTCTTGGCGAGAGGCACTGGCGCGTTGCTTTGCTCTCTGGTCGGATTGTGCTGCAGCTGCCTTCGCGAACCTGACGACGGAATCTTTGTCAACTTTTGCGACTTGTTCCCATCTCTCGAACAACTTTACAACCACCTGAACAATTTCCCTTCCTATTCTATCTTTGATACCCGGCGAAGCCCTTGATCGACCGCGCAATAGTCTCGACACAAACAGCGAAGTGTTTTTTTTTCCGGCGTAGCCACGCCCACGACCAAAAATGGCAGGCCTTTTCTCATCTGGCACGTCGTCTGCGTCGGCGAGTAACACCCTCGGAGACTTGAAGAACGACGTCGCGCTCGCCAATGGCCCAGAAGATAGCATCTCCGACATCGCTTTCAACCCCAACCCGGCCGATACCAAAGATCTGTTGGCGGTAGCCAGTTGGGACAAGAAGGTCCGGATCTACGAGATCATGAGCAATGGTCAGGGAGAGGGAAGAGTCGCGTACGACCACGATGGGCCGGTGTTCTCGGTGGACTTTTTCAAGGTATGGCGAGTCTCTGGTTCTGGTTCTGGTTCTGGTTCTGGTCTGCTTGGCACATTTTCACAGTTGCTGATTTCACTCAAAGGATGGCACAAAAGTAATCTCTGGAGGCGCCGACAAACAGGGCAAGGTGGTGGACCTTGCAACCAGTCAAACCATGCAGTTTGCGCAACATGACCAGCCCGTTCGCGCCGTTCGCTACTTCGAAAACAGCGGCACCCCCATGGCCGTAACAGGCTCCTGGGACAAGACCATCAAGTACTGGGACTTCCGGCAACAGACACCAGTCGGGACCGTAACGTGCCAGGAACGTGTGTACACCATGGACGTACGAAACGACCTCCTGGTGATAGGGACAGCCGAGAGATACATCAACGTCATCAACCTGAAGGATCCAACCAAGTTCTACAAGACGATCACAAGTCCGCTTAAGTGGCAAACGAGGGTGGTGAGCTGCTTTACCGACTCGATGGGCTTCGCCATTGGTAGTATTGAAGGTCGCTGCGCCATTCAATACGTCGAAGACAAGGATGCTAGGTGAGTTTGGGATCTCGACTCTCGCCGCAAAGTGAAGGTCCAGGAAGCTAACACGTGCCGCCCAGCCTCAACTTCTCGTTCAAGTGCCACCGTGATCCCCCACAGGGCAACGTCACCAACGTGTATGCTGTCAACGATATCTCTTTCCATCCCGTCCACGGCACTTTCAGCACCGCGGGCAGCGATGGCACATTCCACTTCTGGGATAAGGACGCCAAGCATAGGCTGAAAGGGTACCCCAATGTCGGTGGTAGCATTGCTGCCACGACGTTCAACAAGACCGGCAGCATATTTGCGTACGCTATCAGCTACGATTGGGCCAAGGGCTACCAGGGCAACACAGCTGGGTACCCTAACAAGGTCATGCTGCACCCGGTGCAGCCGGACGAATGCAAGCCCAGACCCAGCGTTAAGAAGAGGTAGAGTCGTCCTTGGCTGCCAGGACTGGGGAGGAAAGGGATCGGGGCGAGATTTGGTCTGGGTTTTTGTGGTAATAGGGTGGAAGATGCTGCTGAAACTAGGTACGTATACAGCTAATTGGGACAACGAAGAAACTGAACTGGGAGTAGCGGTCTTGGGTCTGGGATTTATTAATTTATGGGGGCGGTGGGTGGGCAGATGGGCGGTGTGATGTGGAGTGTGTAAATAGCATCGAATCAACTATCAAAATCAAAGCGACTGTTTTCGTGTGGGCAAGGTGACCGTTTTGGTTGATGGGATGTTAACACATTCCCGTTTGGTGGCTGAGTTCAAGCACGTTTATTCGAGATGCAATCCACAAATTGGAAATTTCATACCCGTCCACGATCAGGTGGTAGCCCGGTTCTAGATATTTCTCTCGGTGTCAGCGGACCTCCGGGTTGTGTAACTATTATTCGGCCGGACCGCTCGGCATCCAAAAGGATGCCGTCGCCATCGGTGTGGTGACGATAAGCAAGTCACTTTTGTAACCGAAACAACGTAAATGAGTGAATAAGTGAAGGAATGGAACGTGTGACTTCATTCATATCCCTTCAAACCAAAACCAGGCAACGCTGGCAGGTATATATCCCCATCAAGGTCTCTACTCCAAGAAAAAACACAGAAGTGACTGTAACTGTTGTCGGTCATGGCCAAATCTCGGCCTCGTTGTCTTATTTTCCATGCGGACCCCCCCTCTCCCGCTGTCAATTCGCTGACAGGCTTGTTCCATAAAAATAAAAAATCTCCAAAAGAGATATCAAAGCTATGCCGTGATAACAAAAGAAAAGATACAAAAGCAGATTAAAAAAACATATAACGCTTCACATCATCAAAACAAAACAAAAAAAAACCAAACCACCTCATACTTTGCCGCAACCCTTAAGCAGTGGATTTTTTAGAACCCATAACATCGTCCACCAACCCCCTCCACAAATCCTTAATCATCCCACTCCCCATCTCATCATACTCCTGCTGCCCGCTCTGCTCGGGCTGCATTTGATACACAAACCTCAGCTCCACACCGTCCACAAACCCGCCCTCTGGCAGCGCGACACTGTCGGGGTTGGCAGCCACAATCTTGACCTCCTTTGCGGCTTGTTCAGGCACAAAATCCGACACCTCAGGGGCGAACAGACCGGAAGGGGGGCCAGAGATGTTATCCGGGAGGAGCGGGACGCGGATGTTGCTGTAGGGGTCAAAGTTGGGGTCCATGGCGAAGAGGTCTGGGAGGACGAGCGAGTCGACAGTGTGGTGCGCCGTGGCGGGGCGGGGGGCCGAGTGGTGGAAGGTTTGCATGAAGCGGAAGGGGTGAGGTTGGCTGGTTTGGAGGGTGGTGAGGGTGGGCCGGGACGGGGAGGTGGAGGTTGAGTGGGCGCGGGTTGACTGGGAACCATATTAGAATTGGTTGAGTAGATAAGGGGATGCGATGGGAAAGAAAACATACCTCTGCGTCTTCCTCCAGGACGGAAGGGGACGGTTTCCTTACTGACTTGGTGGCAGCACTGGTGGCGGAGAGGAGGTGACTTGGGCGGGCGACGGGGGAGGATGTGCTGAGGGAGCGGGTGAATTTGGAAAAGGTGGGAGCGATTCTTGACGACATTGTGGTGGTTGTGTGTGATTTGGTTGCTGAAATTCAAGCTGGTGAGATGGCAATGGCTTGTAGATGACGATGATGGTGAAGCTTCGAGGGAGCTTGGAGTAGATAGCAGTAGTCAATGGCAATGCAAGCAGGCAAGCAGGCAGGCAGGCAGGCAGGCAGGCAGAGCAATGGACGAAGGAAACAAGACAGATAGATGATGATGAGGATGATGATGAGGATGAGGATGAACAAGAGCAGCACAAAAACCGGCGAGCAATGGATTGATAAAGGGGAAGCTGAGTCAAAGACCAGGGGCAGGCTGGGTATAAGTCAGTATTGCCAGATCCCGGACCTCCGCATTGGAATGTGTGGAGGGGAGCTATCGCCCAACCAGCAAGTCCCGGGCAACCCACCCCCCTCCCTCCGCCTTTTCTCCTCCTCCCCAGCTCCCCTCTCCCCGCTTCCCGTGCCCTTTCTTTCTTCTTTCCACTTTACGGTGTTAACAGTTTCGGCCCACCGTCACGGGCAGCTGGCCATGCGCGCAGGCGCAACCAAAGCAAGCATCGAACGACGCTGGGGGATACGGAGCAGGAGTACGAAATACAGTCGGTAGTTCCCGGTTTCGAGCATTCTGGGTGCACGAGTGAGCCGAGCATGCGTCGATTGAATCGGAGCGTCTTCAAACTCTGTAACTGTTTCCCTCCCCGAGTCCCCAGGGCCCGATTTCGCTTCCTCGTCAAGTTTCAGCAACAAAAAAGTTGTGAAGAGGTCCCCACCCCAATCCCAACGGACCCGACTTCGCAGGGGTTCAATCATTCCAAATGTCCCAAATGCCCAAATGTCGACGGGCTGGCTCGAACGCGACAGCGGCACAGCCATCCAATCCACCTTTTGTTGAGGGAGCTTGGGCTGCCCAGAGACCTGTGCGCTGTCCCGCCTGCATGGAGGCGGTCAACTCTAACCTGACGCTTCCTTTCCCCTTGGGGCTTAGCTGCTGTTTGTCAACAAAAATAAAAATGTCGGGGCTGCATTGCCCGATTCCGTTCCTGGTCCATCGCTCCACGGCGTTAAGCTGGATTGTACCCTTCATTCACCTGAGCACCGTTCGGGGTTTGTGTGGGATTGCGATCTCGTCTCCTTTTTTTTTTTCTTTGAGCGTCACATGAGCCCGTCAGGGAGATTTCATTCGGCCAGGATGGCCTCTCCACAACGTGTCTGGGGAAACTCCTGGAGGTTGGAGACAAGCAACGGCATCAGCAGGCATTGCTCCTTGTCTCCTCTCCACCACGTGCCTGTGTCATGTCTGGGGAATTTAGCCAAGAAGGAAGAAAGGAACGGCGTCCGGGAGTTGCAAAGCCTTGAGAAGGTGAGGGTTGGGGTTGACTGTGCAGCATGTCGGATCCTTTCGGCAGATAAGATCTCTACCGGCCCTTCCGAGATAACCGAAACCAACACACTTGAGCACAGCAACGACGACCTCGAAAACGGAGGTGCGGCGGGCACGATGGTCTTCGGTAAAGATGGCCCTTGACTCACATGTACGAGGCAGGTCATAGCCGGAACTGACCTGCACGTCATGTCATGCACGGTACAACCTCTTGTGCAGTACCTCGGCTAGTTGTATTCTCCAGCAAACAGTTGTCTCTAGAACGGTTGGAGTCATATGGCATATCGTAGATACCCACATTGTGGTCTGTTCCTTCTTTCACGTGCTGATTCTGGCATCTGACGTAGTGCCAGTGCAAGCTGTGAGAGTGTCACGGATGGATGCCTTCCTTCTTTCACGTAGGCAGTGGGAAGGGAAGCGACTTTGTGTTGTGCTTTCAGGGGCTTGGGAAGTTGCGAACGGGCACCCGAGGCCTGGTCGTCATCATGCCCTGCCTCCTCTAGCTCCTCTTCTCTCACCTGGGCTCTTCCACTGATGCTGCAACCAATTACCATCACCACCACTTACACCACGTATCCATACAACCATATCGATTCCAAGCCCGTCCTCCGGCGCCTCATCCCAAGAGAAGATGGCCTCTCAACCGAAGCCGCTGAGAGGTGACTAGGACTGCCCGATTACGGTTGACGACGTCGCCCCCGACCTGACAGACCCGCGATTTCCCGGTTTCATAAGGGGCTTGAGCTTCAGTTCTGACGAATCACCAAGTAAAAGGGGCTTGAAGCATGGGAAGACGTTCAAGAAGGACATTGTTGAGAATATTGAGCATCATACTTATCATGGCGGGCTTCCACCCACGTACGTTGTTCAATAGGTCTTCCAAGCGCTGTCCAAAGTTACCTGCTGACAATGCACCAAGAGCGATGTGGGAGACATGGTGCAAAGATGTCATTCGGCAGTTGTCCTCCAACGTTGAATGGCTTCCGCTCTTGTGGGAACTGCGTGGAATTGCGGACGGCGCAGAGGTGACACTTGAGCAGGTTGTCATGTTGAACGCACGCCACGAGCTGGCTGCTTGGGAGCGGGTAATGCGGAATGACGAGGTGGGAAGGCCGGGCTGCTTGCGACCTATGGAGGATTTCTTCATCCTTAGCGAGGATCCAAAGCCGACCGAAGACTGCAATATCTTGTCAGAGTATGCTGATACGAGTACCAGCGCGTACTTTTCGGACGCAGTGACCAACAACCATCCCGTTGTCGCACAGTCCTGGAACATGCCGTCAACCCGAACTGTCGAGGAGCCCGAGAAGCGGGACAGAGACGTGGTCGTGCCAAAAGACCATGCTGTCATCTTGCTCAAGGTCACCCCGTGTCGGCAAGATGGCCCGGCCGCCGTGCCTCATTTCATCGTCACTAAGCCCGGCGTACTCATGAAGAGCGGCATGAACCAGCACGGATATTCGGTAGTCGTGGACTCGGTCTTTTCGACGCGGGATCGCGACCTGGCCCCGTCTGATTTGCCAATGACACTGCTTGCACGGAAAATGCTCACGTCCTGCGTATCCTTGGCCTGTACCACGAATGTCCTGCAGAGATATCGAACTGGCTCAACCCACAGCCTTCTGCACGCCTGCCGTGGCCTTCGATCACTAAACGACGACACCACATCTGCGAGTATCCTTGAGTTGCTGCCGCACACGCCGGAAGCCGGGTCCCTGAGGGGTCGTAGGGTCCTCCCTGACGCCAACCTCTCCTATTGCTTGGTGCACACGAATCACCTGATCGCGCCGCAACTCGCCCCATTTCAGCTCGAGGAGCTTGTAAAACGTGTGTCGTTGCCTGCTGGTCTATTGGAGGTCGCGAAGCACTCGAAAAAGAACTTGCAGAGCATGGCGCAGATAGTGAGGCGGTACCTCGTGCAGTTGCTGACAAAGCGGTTTGTCAACTTTGTATTCCGTGCATGGGACTCTCCTGCTCGTTTCAACCGACTCCGACAGCTTATCGAATTTGGGGACCATCCCATCAATCAAGAGAGCATCCTGAATATCTTTTCCGATCACATTGGCGAAATGTCGGTTTGCCAGCACACCAAGGCAGACATGTTCAAGGAACTCTCGGAGGTTTCGGGCGAGCTTGATAAGCCATGGTCGAGACCTCAAGGCAACCATACGGCATGCCTTGTTACCTACCATTTGGAAGAGCTGAAGATTACCGTCTCCACGGGGCCGCCGTGCCATGGCAATCATTTGGTTTTTCAGCTGCTGGACCCGTCACATCTGGACGAGGTGCCAACGGTGGCCGCGGCTGTACCCGAAGACAGGAAATTCAAATGGCCTCAAAAGCCCAAGCAGACCAAACCACCTCAAAAGCACCATCTACTTTCAGCAGTGGACCCGCCAATACTCAGCAAGCGTCTGATACTTGGGGAAGCCTCTAACCCCAATACTCAGTTCAAGCTAAATTGTGCCTCTTGGTGGGGTGTGCGTCGCATGTCTCTTCAGAGGCAGAGGGCTCTGCGCGGCCGTAAGAGGGCGGCCGCCATCTGCAGCGCGTGGAATGACGAATGGGAAAGACAGGGCGAAGTTCGGGTTCAGCCTGAGCGCCCGGTGTTTGGGCCCGAGACCAAAGCATGTTATGAGAAGAGGAAGCGCCGATTTGAGCAAGAATACAGAAGACTGTGTGGTTTTTGGCTGCTGAAAGCGAGGTGGCAAACCCCGAGCCGCCCGGACGACAAGATTGTAGGCGACCGCAGCTGGCCCGACCACGAAGTCATTGGCACGCCGCCGCGAGCAGAGGGGGCAGAAAAAAGCCGTAGCCCACGGACCGATGAAGAAGAAGCCGAGATGGTCAATCATTTTGTGGAAACCAGAGCTCGCTTTTTCGACTCGGCCGCTGCCAGATTCGGGACCATGAACTGGGATCGGTGGAAATTGGCAAACGGGCTGATGCCCAGGGGCTCTTCGATGCTGCGGAACGTGGAAACTTGGACGGACATTGACAATGACGTTCTCGAGACCACGGTTGTTGTGCGAAACAACCACTGTCTCCTCAACGGGACAGATTACGCAGCTGAGCGGGCTTTTGCCGTCAGGTATGACGAGAGAACGGGGCACAGGCACTACATGAGGTGGGGACTCAAATGGCTGCGCGACATTGCACCGCCTCGTGTGATTGATGAGAGGGACACGCAGCGCGCAAAGTTTCTGGCGAGGAAGAGAAAGCATCAGATGCGGTGGCAGGAGAAACAGGAACCGCCGAAGGGGGCAAGAGCGCGGAGGGAGAGATTGGAAAAAGAAGCGGCGGAGGAGAAGGCGAGGGAGGAGGGGAAGGAGAGGGCGAGGAAGCGGGCGATGTACCAGGAGAGATGGAAAGAACAAGCAGAGGAGAAAAAGAGGAGGGAAGAAGAGGCGAAGAGGTATCCCCCCTGGACGACTGTTTCTGTCGGGAGGAAGGATAAAAAGCGGGTGAGAAAGAGGACGGTGAAGTACAGCAAGTGAGATTGACGGATTGGACTGAGGGTGAAGAGGAACTATGAACTGCAATGGTACTAGGATGAATATGCAGCGGTGAACGGTGGGGCTTCTGTAGCGAAAGTAGCGAATTGATGGCATTTGTGGTTTCTTAATTGGGTTGCTGTCAATGTGATGAGGTGTGGTACACGTTTTACAGACTTGCTGGTGCCCAGTCATTTTTTTGTCTGGAAGAGTGTGGCCGAGAAAGTGGACAGACTCGAAGGAAATAGGGGTAATTGTCTTGGCGCTGGTGAGTGGTGCCAAGACTGTTTATTTGGGTTGCTGGGGCAGAGACAGCAGCAGGTAGTGGTTGGAGTGAGAAGACGGGTTTTGATACACCAGGAGCAAAAAGTTTGATTCTGAATATTAGACACAGTCGTTCATGATGGCAAAGGACGAACATATTCTCTCTCATATTTACTCGAAAATAACATCAAAACGCCAATAGTCCGTCTCGCATGGTATATATAAACAACACTTTTCATCAACCCACCCGTTTGTATCAGGAGCTCAGTCAAAAAAAAAAAACAAGAATCCATTTTGTATACAACCCAGAAAACCCCCCTACCTTCAAAGTGCTAACAAAAAAAAACAAAAAAAACAAAAAAAAAAAAGAAAACACAAATCACTCCTCATACTCCCCACCCCCCTTGGTCCCCAGCATCCCCTGGCTATGTCCCGCGTTCCTCCTCCTCCGTCCCCTCACCTCATTCACCCAGTCGCTGAGCCTGAAACCCCAATGCCCCGCCACCATGGCGCCGCTCAGGATATTCACCACCTTGATCAAAAAGACAAAGAAGCTATCCCTGTCCTCGACAATATTCAGTAGGATCGGCTCGATGTCGTACTTGACAAAAATCCCGGGAATCATCTGCATCTCCATGTTCTCTGGAATAGGAGCGGACTGCTCCGTGACGGCGTATTGATTTGTAAAGATGGAGCGGGACGAATATGAGTCTGGGTGGCCGAGGCTGTAGACTGTCGGGACGATGGAGAGGAAATACTGAAAGCGGTGAAAGTGCGAGTGTTCTGGGGCCGAGTTGACGGTCTGATCGAGCGGGTTGATCAGAGAGGGGAGGTAAGGGCCGAAGGATAGCTCGTTGATGATGTGGGAGAAGTTGAATGCTAGACCAAAGTGTTAGCAGATATTTAAAGTGGGAAAAATGGGGGGGGGGGGGGGGAAAAACAAACCGTCATGGGACAAATCCTCCCCAAACTACCCATACCCATACCCCCTCCCCGTAAT